TGGGGCGATCTAGGGGGCCTCTTGGGCCATTGTGGAGCGTCGGGAAGCGGGGAAAACGAGAAGGCCAAACACATAGAAAAACACACAGGAAAATCAACAATTGTAGCCTCTCGGGGCTCTCCTGGGAGGCCTCTTGGGGGTCTCTGGGGGCGTCTTGGGCGCGTCTTGGGCAGTCTTGGGCCCAGATTGGGCGTCTTGGGCCGGTCTTTGGGTGTTTCGGGGCCCTCTTCGGCCGTCGCGGGGGATTTTTTTGTTGCGTCGCACTCGCAGGACAGACACGAAGCACTCTGCAGGAGCGCCCCAAAGGGTCGGGGAGGCCGAAATTAGTTTTTTTTTTGTGGGGGGGGGGGGGGGGTGCACCGTGTGCCACTTTTCCGGGGTCCCCGGCCCTGTATATATATGTATATATATATACACACATACATACATACATACATACATATATATATATATACATATACATATATATATATATATATTCATATATATATATATATATATATATATATATATATATATATATATATATATATATAACCACGACGGCCAAAGAGGGGCCCGAGACACCCAAAGATCGGCCCAAGACGCCCAATCTGGGTCCAAGACTGCCCAAGACGCGCCCAAGACGCCCCCATAGACCCCCGAGAGGCCTCCCAAGAGAGCCCCGAGAGGCTACAATTGTTGATTTGCCTGTGTGTTTTTTTTCGATGTTTTTGACCTTCTCGCTTTTCCCGCTTCCCGACGCTCCACAATGGCCCAAGAGGCTCCCTAGATCGCCCCAGTGCCGCCCAAGAGGCCCCCCAAAAGGCCCCAACACGGTCCAGGAGGGCTCCGAGACCGCCCAAGAGGCGCCCAAGACGGTCCAAGAGAGCACCAAGACGGCCCCAAGAAGGACCCAAGAGGGCGCCCAAAAATTCAAAAATGAAATATTCCGCCGCGACAGGGCCCCAAGAAGCCCGGAGAGAGCCCAACGAGGCCCCAAGAGGCTCCCAAGAGGCCCCAAGGAGCCCCCAAGAGGCCCCCAAAAGGCCCCGCAAAGATCCCAAGAACCCCAAAACACCCCCAAGACGCTTCAAACCTGCCTCCCAGAGGGTCCCGAGAGGCGATCCCAAAACAGCGGTCTCCCCCTCTCATTATCCCTTCGCTTTGTCGTCGCCTTCCTCGTCGTCGTCGTTGTCGCATCCAATGGCGCCCAAGACGGCCCAAGAGAGCACCAAGACGGCCCCAAGAGGGACCCAAGAGGGCGCCCAAAAATTCAAAAATGAAATATTCCGCCGCGAGAGGGCCCCAAGAGGCCCGGAGAAAACCCCATGGGGCCCGAAGAGGCTCCCAAGAGGCCCCAAGGAGCCCCCAAGAGGCCCCCAAAAGGCCCCACACAGATCCCACGAACCCCCAAACACCCCCAAGACGCTTCAAACCTGCCTTCCAGAGGGCCCCGAGAGGCGCGCCACGAGATCCCAACACAGCGGTCTCCCCCTCTCATTATCCCTTTTCTTTGTCGTCGCCTTCTTCGTCGTCGTCGTTGTCGCATCCAATGGCGCAGCGAGGCCATTTTCCGTTCAAACCACCGAAGGGCCCGAGAGCTCCTCCTCCTCTGCCTCATTCTCTTCCTCCTCTACCTCCTCCTCCTCCTTCTCCAAATTCCCCGTAATGTTTCACGTTCCGCCCCGCCAAAGGTCTAGCAGAAGCAGCT